GAATGGCCATTTCTGGCTTGTTAGCCGTCATCAGCCACTCATACCCAATCTCAAGGGTTTGAACCCTCGAGATTCGAACCCGGGACCTTCGGTCATTGAGTTTAATACTCTAGCTCGGCACCACGGGCTCGGAGATATATAGATAATTTGTCTAAAGTGCTCGATTGCGAAAAACCTCCATGCGAGATTGACAATCTCGGAAATCGCCGTCGAACCTTGCTGAGCGCACGCTGTCCACGGTACTGCGTCAAAAACGTCGTGAGGCAATGCGTAAGTTTCATTAAAAGTAAAAAGAATGAGACAAGAAAATAATATCAGCGCAGGCTGCCAATTGCAGCCATTTATCATCCTCAAGAGACTAAGCAATTGCACGAGTTGCTGCTCAAGCACATGCAAGTAGCCAAGATATGCTTACCAGAGTAAATCTACACGAAAAGGAAGGTTTGTCAGTGAAATGTTGTATCTGGAAATCACATAGCTAATTACAGTTGTTAAAAGGTTCATCTGCGTGAGGGAACATATCAGTCAAAATAACGAAAACACATATTGTTTAGTGTAATTGGGTTAGCTTAGTAAGAGATTGGCAAAGGTATTTTAAGTAGTGGACCTCATATACCAGAAGCCCCGGCATTCTGTCCTAGGGGAACGGCGTTATAAGGGGTTTTGTGGGTGGAGAAATAGTAAAGGCAGTGAATGGAAGTCGTATAAGTAAGTATGTAGTGGTAAACCACATTCTTTTTGTGGTTTAAATCAGTACGGCATTGACGATGTGGTGCAAAATAACGCTGGAATTTTGGAGTATACTTTAATAACTACTATATGCATTTTACCTATTAATCTCACCGGTTCCTGACCTGTCGCAAACCTACACCTACCTCTTTATTCAAATACCTCTTATTTATAAAATGCTTTTTTGCTTATTCATCGGTTTACGCGGTCCAATCCCTGGCTGTATAGCAGCTGCGACAGACGAATTCAACCACATTTTACCAATTTAAACTTACTTGTACAAATTTTCTTCTCTGTCTGTCCTATTTTTCCACTCGTAAAACTCCTAATAACACCGGTTCCATACGACAGAATGGTGGGTCTTGTGGTGCATAAGGTCCATTACTTAAACTACTTTTGCCTAAAAGTCATTTGTTTGTCAATGAGTATTATTTAGCGCAGCTAGCAGTACCAACGCCAATGACCCAACTGGCAGACTTATAAATCAAAATACCCATTAAACGATGGATTTGTGGCCAAAGCCCGATAACAGAAACGAAAGGACAGGTTCCTGTAAATACCGCAACCCCTGATAAGCCACTACCCCCACCTGGCGTTGTCTCCGTGAGTGGACCGAGACGAAACTTCCCCTCCTGTCCCAGCGATCGTGTTTCCTTCAAGCCCCAAGTTTGAACTTGCCTAACCGGAAGTCCCAATATCTACTGGCCAATGAGGAAAAACGGAGGAAAAATGCTCTTCCTAGTTTCTATTGGTTTACCAGTGACACTGTTTAAACAACAGTTGCTCGTTTTTATGTGATAGTCAGCGTGGACACTAGATCTCCGCGCCAAGAAAAAAAAAGCCAGGAGACTCCTATATCCGGTCAAACGTCACTGCCATGAGTGGACTTGAAAAGTCGCTCATATTCACTAAAATTTCGCTGTCTCTTTTTGCTTCTGACTAAAAATCGCGCGCGAAGTCTTCAACCGATATGTATTAAAACAATACGCATAGGTGTAGTAGGCTGAAATAATTTGCTGACTCCGCAAAACCATATAGGGAGAGAATGGGAGCTTGCAGGAGTATCCTCGAGGTATAAGAGTGGGGGGAGGGGGGTAGTGAATACACGTACCTGTCAATCAGGAGTTTGCAGAGATCCGTGTGACAGCAGGTGGCTGCAGCGTGGAGGGGCGTCCAGAGTTCCGTGTCACGGGCGTTGACGTCAGCACCGAATCTCAGCAACAGACGGCACATTTCCTGATTGTCGTCGATGCAACACTGCACCAGATGGTTCCAGAGTCGAGCATCAAGATGAAGGCCGAGTAGAGGAAGAGAGAGAGAGAGAGCATACGTCAGCAAAGTTCCAAAAGACATTTACGGGAGAAAAAACGAGCAAAAATCGGTCGAGTAGGCGTATTAGGGTAAAGAAAAAATACAAACTCGATGGACCTGACCAAATGGCGAATAGGCAATATATATACGCAGGTATATTTTTTTCTCTCATTTGGCAAGCTGACGCAAAACGCAGTCTGCGTACGCCAAAGGGGATGGGTGTAGATGGCAAAAATGAGATCTCAACAAGATGGCACTGCAGGCTCAGACTGTCAGGACAGTTGAGGGAAGAAAAAAAGGCACACAACAATAGCGCTTTTTTATGAAGCAGGAAGAGGAGCAGGCCTTTTAAACACCGAAAGATGAACGCGTGGCAAGTGTAGCAAGAGGGTATCACAGGAGGTGGTAGTTTCACCCCGGGTGGACTTATATCATGACTTATGTGAGTAATTACTAGACGGCACACTAGGATATAAAAGGCTGTAGTCAAAATTTGTCGCTAAAAAGGGGACAAATTCGACTGTGCTTAGTTTCGGTAAGAGCTCTCCAGTGGCAAGGGAATATCAGAGAAAATTACAACTAAGCAAACGGACCACTCCTAGAATTAATGTGTTGTTCAGCACTTAACGTACAAGTTACGCGGGAACATTCAGTTCTCCAATTCTGTCCCCAGGGGATAATAATCAGCTGGTAAACAGAAGACCGTACGATCAATGATGAGTAAAACTGCATGTGAAGGAGAAAAAATGTTTGGCTCAATGAAACAATCTGGAGGTTAACAGAATAAGCAAAAGGTGCTCCTAACCCTAGAATAAATAAAACATATTACTCATCAATGAAAACCGCACATTAATTAGTGATTCCACCGAACATTTCATTTTCGGGTAATCATCCAGTAAAGACGCCAGGATGATGATGCTTGGTCTTACCAACACATAAACACGAGTGGTGAATTTCGCTCAACTGGTACGCGGTAGAAACGGTGAAGAACAAAGTCGCTGAACTACTGGTCGCGTACCGTCGGGTTTTTAGGGCAGGACCACGCTATTTTTGCCCTTCCAGTCAAAACGGGACACGTTTCTCTTTGAATGTCGGAACCTGACAACTTTCCACGGATAACATTAATTGAATTCGCAATTCATTTATACTACCTGACAGAACAAAAAATATGCCCGACTTTAAGAGCAATAAAAGAATTGCAGGTAGGAATCGGGAGGGATGCACTTCTGCTTGTAAATACAAACGGGAAATTTGGAAAATAAATTTCCTCAAAACGGCAATCCTTTGAACACAAAGGCGCACTGCGTCAGCCAACTGACCTTCATCTGCTTAACTATTATCCCTATAGAAAAGGGAGGGTAAATAAAAAAAGGTATTGCAATACTCCACAACAGTCAGTCACTTAGGTCAGCGGTATAAAAAGAACATTGACCATATTAATGGGCGCCTGCTTAACCAAATTTTCACAGTGAGAAGTAGAGGGCTGCAAGAACACAGCATGCAGTTGATGTTTATTCAAGGAAATGGCTCATGAAACACAGAAATCCGACCCATTTTCAGTGGTTTGCCTGTTTCACGTTGGCTTTTTAGTAACTGGTGGCAAGCAATACCCTATATTGTGCAAGGCGGCAAAGTATGCCCGAAATTTGTGCATAAATCTGTATAAAAATCGACACGCCTGATTACCTCACTCCAATCCCCTAAAAATCTGGACACCTGAGGTTGATGCACCAACGGCGGACATTTTGGCTTTTTTGCGATTGAAAGGAAGCAGGAAACTCGAGGTAGAAAGTCGCAAAGGCGTATGTGAACTTGCTTCCCGTGCACATTTTATCTTGTTATCCTGGATAATGGTCTCAGCTGGCGTATCATACACTTTCAAGGCTGTCCACTTGACAGTGTAAACAGGCAAGTGAAAAGCTCTCGTGACCGAAAACTGGTTCGTGTCCCATGGGTTAGGGAAACAGCGATAGAGAACTCCTATACGACCTGCATCAACGTTTAAACCGTGTTATTGTTTACTTGATCGCATGCGACCTGGCAGATGGTCACTTCTTCCCGATACCTACTGACAGAAAACAGAGCCAGGTTTGTGTTCACTGCAGACCGCTTCCTATCAAAGCACTTGACTACAGAGGTGTTTCATAGGTCACACCAGACCCCTGAGTGTCCCATGTGAATATGAAAGCCAGCAAACCCAAACACTTCTCCAAATTACTGGCGGTGTCAGAGGAGACTGTAGGAGATCTCGCGCTAGTCATTGTCCCCATAAACTCACACGCACAGCAATGACATAAATCCTGATGACCCCCCATGGGACTCGATTGGCAAACGGCCTAAAAACCCTGTAGGACACAAAATCTACAAGCTGTCCGCTGCGATTTAGAGGCTAAGCTACTTAAGTGTCGCTCGGTATCACGCAATATCGGGCACAAAACGCTCGAGGTTAATGCTTCAGCAGTGTGCTGCAAACTATTTTAAATTTCTGCAGGCGAAAGTTGCCATTTCAGCATAGATACATGCCGAGGTTCTACTTACACAGCAAGCCAGCAGAGGTCAGCAGAGTACACTGTAAATATGAGGAAAAAGGTGTAATGGACTCTTGACCAAAAAAACGAGGTTGACAATAAAAAGTGCACTAGACGAAAACGTAAGAAGAATTTGAACGAACAAGGGAGGGGGAGGGGAGATGACACAGATCGTACGAAAGCACAGAAGCATAGCAACAAAAAAGACCTGTGTATTTATCAGATGCAGTACATTGTTTGAAGTACGTGTAGGGCTCAAATCCCACCAAACATATTGCAAAGCTGCGTTCATAAAAATCAAGCAGTTCCAGTAAAGGAAAACAAGATCGTGCAAGTACTCTTGAGCGTGCTAGAAGCCGCCTGTTCAAGTACGAAGACGGAATAGGATGCAAGACTGTGACCGAGAAGTTA